TGGTGATTGGCCCCTCCCCCTCCACCTGACAGTCCAGCATCAGGGGGCGGTCCCTCACAGCGATGACATCAGCAGGTTCTCTGAGGAAGGCAAGCTCGGAGTCTCCAATGACACCTGAGACAGAAACCCAGTGAGCTGTGAGCCCTCAGTTTGGTCTCACAGGTAACAGGAAATACACAACCAGGTCTAAAGAAATGAACGACACCTTAAATCAGCTGTAACTCATCCATGATGGTGATGATGATGATGATGGTGATGGTGATGATGAGAAGCTGTTGGAGATCAGTAACACAAATTCATGATCAATCAGTGAGCTGTGTAGAGAGTGAGATGATAAAGGTATCTTACTCTCTGATCATTAAGGAAACATGTTGAAGTGCTGGCTTCTCTGACAACAATGCAGCAGCCAGTATGTCCTCCTTCTAACTTTAGATTCTGCTCCTGAATGCTCTGGATTTGTTTGGACCAGAGAAGGTAGGCGCTTTTAAGGCGACCCCCGCCACACGGCCGTTTTGGACACCCCTCGGTTTGTCAGATATGAGAGCAGTTATCAGGTCAACAGGTGTTGTAGCGATGGAAGCGGTCAAGAGAAGTGGTTCAGATAGAAGTGATTGTCCCCGACCTAAAAAGCCTCTGCATGTTTCTAATAAGCTCCACGAGCAGAAACGTGCTCAAACTAGGATCAATATTGGAGATGCTTTTGAAAAATGGAGAGAGGTTAGAACACAGAAAGGTTTACAGACCCATGCAGAGCTGGATAAACACTGAAGCTTCAGAGTCCACCACATGGTGACCTGAGTGAGCATCCACTCTAGAGAGGGGGGGGGAGACAGCTCTCTATGATGTTTAGAATTTAGACTGCAGTACCCATTTTAATCACTAGGGGGCAGAGTTACATACTGCTCCTTTAAGTCCTTTTTTATCTGTCTGCAGAAAAATGAGGATTAATGACTCTGAATCCTCCTGATGTAATTTACAAAGATCATAAAGTAGAAGAAGAAACTTTCACTGTGTCCTCTTCAGCTCACACACTTCATTCATCTGGAAGTGAATTCTAATGTTTGTGGGACAGCTGAGGGAGGATTTTCCAATTAAAACTTGGAGGATCATTCTTCACATTAAACTTAATAACTTAATAAACAAACAGTCAGTGAACGCATCATCCTCTCCCTCCTCTTTTCAACGTGAACTTGGCCGAGACTTTCCCACCCCCCCAACCCCTCCCTCCCTGTCGACCCCCCGGCCTTCATCTTGTTCTGGTCCCAGCTGCTCTCCGTCCTCGTGTGGGAGGAAACGAGACGACGGCCTGCAGGAGAAACCCCCCCCTCAGAATGAATGACAACAATAAGACAACAACAGTGTGAACCAGACACAACAGATACTCGGGGGGGTGAGCACAGAAACTCTTCTTCATCCTGCAGCTGCTCGTCGAGAAAGCCTTCGTCATCACATCATTCCTCCTCTTCCTCATTAAACTCTTCATCAATCTTCATCTTTTCATCACCGTTTCTCTCCTCTCTGGTTCAGCTCCTCTCCTCTTCATCCTCATCATCCTCCTCATCCTCCTCTCCTCTTCATCCTCATCATCCTCCTCATCCTCCTCTTCATCTTCATCATCTTCATCCTCCTCTTCATCTTCATCATCCTCTTCATCACACCATCAACTGGGTTTGTTACCAGAATTTAAATTTAATCCAGATTCCTGATCGTTAACTCAGCAACTAAACTACAAATACACACCAAATATTTAGAAATGTATTGTTTCAATTCTGTGATTTAAGACCAGAACCAGGTCTAAAGACCAGAACCAGGTCTAAAGACCAGAACCAGGTCACGGAGCCTGAGTCAGACGGAAACAACGGATCAAACCAGAACTTAACCCACCACCAAGCCAGAACGCTTTCTCAGCCGCTCCTCAGTGATGTCATCAGTGATGTCATCAGGAAGAGGAAACCACAGCGTCTCTTTTCACACCTCTTTGTGTCTTTCTCCTCAGAAACTCATTTTTAGAGAACAAACAGGACCCTGAACTCATCACTGATCCAACAGAATTGTCCAGACTGACCACGGCTGGTTTACTGCCAAGGTGATAGTGATGTCATCAGTGATGTCATCAGGACCATGAGCAGTGTCTCTAACTGAGCTGTGATGAGGACGGAGATTATTGTTCATAAAACCCTCATCATCGTTTGTGAAACGTGACGATGGTAGAAACACTCCTCATGAGGAAACTGTCCCGTCAAAATAAAGCAGTAACTAATATTTAAATATTTAATAAAATAAAAGAGCTGCGTACAAAGTGTCGTGTTGACAGTCGAGACAAACTTTAAAAATCAGAAATCATCAAAAGAGATTTCAAAATAAAACTAATCTTATAAACGAGTCAGCTGTTATTATTTCTCTGATCAGACGGTCTGTCGTCTGTTCAGGATTAAACCTCCATCTGGGTCCTCATTATTCAGGGGGGGGGGGGGGGGCGTTTAAAACACTGGAGCAGACAGACACCCCCCACACACACACACACTATGACCTGCCCACTAAATCCCCCCCTACTGACAATGACCTCGGCCCCTAGAGGTCATGAGAGCCTGAGTTCAGGTCCTAAAGCTCCGCCCCCTCCTTCTTTCTCTCTGTGGTGCATTGTTGCAAATCTGACCGTGAACTTCACAATTTTTAATCAACACACACACACACACACACACACACACACACACACACACACACACACACACACACACACACACACACAGACGTGATCAGACTGATGATGATGAAGGTTCAATCGTGAGAACCAGACTCCCCCCCCCACACACACACACACACACACACACACACACACACACACACACACACACACACACACACACACACACACACACACACACACAATAATTAGAGCCAATTAGAGCTGCTGAGTCACTTCCTGTTTCATCAGCTTTCTTCTTAATGAGTCCTGGAACTATTTTCAAGGTCACCTGGGACTCAATGACACGAGGAAAATTCCTTGGAACAATCTCATCTAAGACCAAAGTTTTCAAGGACACCTGGAACTCCTGTTACAACCTGCAGAAACTTCAAGGCTACCTGGAGCCTTCTCAAGGACCCTGATGACCTGTTCAAGGACCAGAGAAACTTCTTCAAGGACACCTGGAAACCTCCCAATGACCACTGTGACTGTTTCCAGGCCCCCTGAAGAAGAGGCAGCAGTGTTCTTGTATACTTGTGAGGACACAGTGTAATCCCTCAGTGCGGTCTGTCAGGCAGCAGACAGCGCCAGGGTTAAAGGGTTAACACGCACTTTGTTCTGATTGTTTGTTTGTTTGTTTGTTTGTTTGTTTGTTTGTTTGTTTGTTTGTTTGTTTGTGTAAATAGGTTTTTAGAACATGATTATTGTTGTTTCTTGATTGAGTGATAATGAATTAATAAATTAGTTTATAAGTTCATCCCTGTGGCAGGTCCTCACAACAATAGGAGACTGACACACACACACACACACACACACACACACAGACAGAGTGTGTGTATGGAGATGAAGTGATGAATATGTATATTTGTGAGGACCGTCTGCTCACAGAGAGTTAACTTTTATAATAATGTTAAAATAATAAATATAATGATAATGAGTGATATGACATCGTCCTGCATCACAAACTCACATTAAAGTTTGACAGTGATATGATCATCATACCTTCATAATAAACATGTAAATACCGTAACACTCCTAATAGAAGCCCGTCTTTAACGAGCTGTTTAAAGGTCTCAGCTCTGCATCAGAGACAGAATAAAGCTCCATGTGTTCAGGACAATAAACGTCTAATTCATGATTTATCAATGATTTTATAATCCTGTGCACTCTTCCATTTAAATCTATATATAAGTATTATAATCTTTCAACAGTAGTTAAAGTCATTTCACAGACTGTTAATAGAAGTCTTACGGTATAATAATAATTAAGAAAGAAGACATGTCAGACCTGAGCAGCAGAGTCCCAGCAGCAGCAGCATCTTCATCCTTAAATCCTTAAAGTCATCACACACACACTGAAACACACACTGAAACACACACTGAAACACACACTGCAACACACACTGAAACACACACTGAAACACACACTGCAACACACACTGAACACACACTGAAACACACACTGAAACACACACTGAAACACACACTGAAACACACACTGAAACACACACTGAAACACACACTGAAACACACACTGAAACACACACTGAAACACACACGAGCAGCTCAGAAACACACACGAACTATTCTTCTTCTTCTTCTTCTTCTTCAGTCCTGCTCCTCTTAGAAAAGGTTCATTAATCCCTCAGTTTGTCTGCCAGGCTGCAGCTCACACACGCTGCTCCTCGCATGGAGTCCTGAACACAACTGACCTGACCGACCAGGGGATGAGGGGGAGGGGCCTCTGATGGAGAGGGGCGGGGCCAGAGGGACAGCAGGGAAAGCATGATAGGGGGGGGGGGGCACTAAACCTCTTGACCCTCAGGGGGAGGGGGGGTCACAGCTGAGGAGCTGCTGCATTAGAAATGGGGGGGGGGGGGGGCATCAACTTTATATACTGATGTTAAATCTGCAGCAAAGCATCATGGTCTATAAGACAAATGGTCAGGCAGAAACAGGATGACGTGGACATCCTCTCTGAACGTGAACCATGATCTGTAAATTATTATCTACAGTCAACACACATTCAGTGAGAAGAAGACTAGAAGAAGAAGAGGTAGAAGAGGAGAAGAAGAAGAGGTAGAAGAGGAGAAGAAGAAGAGGTAGAAGAAGAGAAGAAGAAGAGGTAGATTTATTTTTATTTTTAGAAAATACTTTATTTACATAATAAAGCTAAACAAGCAAACTTCTAAATTCAATCAAAAAACACATTGACATTAACACTCAGCCAAGAGTTACTGAAGCTCAGCTCTCCTTTTTCAGACACACAACACATTATTTCCTCATATCTCCACAGCTCCAGGACCTTTTCCATGTTCCCCATGGTCCTGTGGAAACAGAACTGCAGCCTTAGCCGGGCTTTAATGTTGCACCTCCACAAGGCCACCACATCAACATTAGGTCCAGTCTGTATCACTTCACCAATTAAAAAGTTCAAAAGTTGGCACTTCAATTTAGTTTCTTTTCTGTAACGGATTCCACTGATAAAAACAGGACCTGAAAAAACAACACCAAAAGAATTAAAAACAACAGTGAAAAAACTAAAACAACCAGTAAGTCTCGTGCACTCAGAAGAGACATGAAACACATTCTCAGGCAGACATTTAAAATAACTGGATTAATAACAGATAAAAACACATTAGCAGCAATAGCACCGTGTGAAATCCTCCACTGAAAGTCACCAGTTTGTTTTTTTAAAGGTGGTTTGTACAGAGTCCTCCACTGAGGGGCCTGCCCCCCCCCCTCGATCAGCCAGGTTCTTCTGGTTCATGTTTTTGACACAGTTTTTGTAAAGAGTCTTTTGGTCCACGCTGTGCAGATTGAATGTTTCTTTGGCTCTCACAGTCAGGAGGGGACCACTGCGCTCTGTGGACCCCGGGCTGAGGTCAGGGAACATGTCCGTGGGGTCAGGTTGAACCCCTCCCTCACTGCACACTCAGAGCAGGCTCTTCTCCTTAGCAGAGAACTTCTGTCTCCACAGATCCAGACTTCTCTGAACCAGTCTGACAGAACAGACCCCCAACAGAGAACTCACCTGGATGTCAGAGAGTGCTGGTCCCGCAGAGTCCACCAGTTGTTTCAGTGACACGGTCTTTGTGCTACTCAGCGCCCCCATCAGTCCTGGTACGGAGCTGCAACACACATCCAGTCTGGCACCACAAACTAAAGGCTCCATCAACAACCAGCGCAGAGAGTTATACTTCAGTCGTTTCCAGTCAAACAAAGTGCATGATTTAACTTTAACATTTTAAATCAGTTAAAAACAGAGCAGCATCCAGTCCCAGGTTATCAGAACAACAACAACAACAACAACAACAACAACAACAACAGAGTAGCAGAGATCAATGTGGCTCAAACAGAGATAAAGTTATTTTACCCTCCTGTCCGCTAGGTGGCGGTGGGTTCATGTCGTGTTTGGCTAGCTGCTAAAAACAAACACGAAGAAGAAGATGGCGCGCTGGTGGATGTAAACAAAGATGTTTTATCGTGTTGAGGTGCTCCGCTGTGTTTTATTTACCGCCTGATGTGAGGATGAGAAGAAAAGGAAGAGAAGAAAAGGAGGAGGGTTCACCTGGTTCACCTGGTTCACCTGTACGGACTCACTAAAGGTGAGAGAGCTCAGAAACATGCTAACGGGGCTAACACGGCTAACGAAGCTACTGAGCTCTAACCTGCTACATGTGAACTGATTTCTGATTTAAAGTGACCAAACAATTCACTGACGTCGAGTTTAAAGGTGTGTTCATGTCCTTCGACTGCTTAGTAGAGTTTTAGAAACGTTTAGTAGTTTAAGTAA